GGAAAATTCAATTGATGCTCCTTTCCCCAATAACTGGGATTACTACATACTCCTTTAACAATTTCCTTAATGATGGAAATTGTTATTTAATAACTCTTGTGTAAGAGGCATAATGTGTAGTATTGTTCTTAGTGTGTGTATTTGGATTATTAAGGCAAGAAGGTGATAACTTTTTTGGAACACCAAGGTCTTGTAAAATTTAAAAAAACAACTCCACAAAGTATAGAAGTACAGTACATCCTCAGATTGGTTGTCTGAGAAGATCTCAGCGAGATCTCAATGCTTTCAACTGCTTGGTTTTTTGGTTTTTGTTTTTTTTTCTGATGACTCTTGAGGCATCATTTCTTAGCGGTGAAAGTAATGCTGGACAAAAAGATGTGCTTTTATCATTGCTACACTTAGTTTACTTTTTTTTGGTGATGTATCTGACACTCTGTCATACTTCTAGGTTTGTATATGTGGGCATAGGCACTATCTCTAATACTGTGTCTTCTTGGAATTGCTTTTGTCTTATAATGAGGATGTACCAGATACGTTCGCATGTGTGTTTATTTGCAGTACTTTTGAGTGCTGTTATTTTAACCCCCTTAAAACAAATAGGTGGGAGAAAGGAATCAATGATAGATGAAACTAGATAGAAGTCTAAAATACAAAGTCAGCCCTCTGGTACACACACAGAATAAATACCAATCCTTTGGCCTCACTTACCCTGTGTTGAAAAATACTTGCAAGCAGTGCTCTATGACAATACTTTGAGGAACAAAACCTTCATAATTAAAGTTGTAATGGCAGTAAACTTTTTTAAACCTGAATTCATGTAAAAAAAGATTTTTTTGAAGAAAAACTAACTCAAGTGTTTGTCAGCATCTCTTGGAAGAAGTAGATTGCAGTTGGAAGCAAGAATTAGGAGACATTAATTTAAACATACTCTTTCTTACCCTTCCTCCCCCATCCTCTTTTTACAGGCAAGCCTTCAGATGAAGCTGTATGGGAGATAGTATTTTTAATTATTAGTAAATCTTACTGCAGTGAGATAAATTTTCTTGCTGCAAAAAATGGTTTTAATAAAATAAAAAGCTGAAATCTCCTTACCTAATTTACTGAGTTAATAAAGTATCTCCCGCACTCCAGATTTTTGTCGTCTCCTGCTGGTTTTCCTACAGTACTTTATATTCTTGAGGTGAAATTATGTCTGCTTGTACTTTTTGACCCACTTACGGACGTACCAGGATGCTACAAAGCTGGTATCCTTATATTGTGGGCTGTTTGCACTTCATGTGAAGTGCAGTGGAGAACGCCGTCACTGTACTGGGGTGTCATCCACTCGTGAGCTGATGCCTGTAGAAGTTTTACTCTACTCAGATATGGACTTCTCAAAGGCTTTAGTATGAATTTTGCTTGCTTAATGCTGAAATAGTTTTTTTCATTTACCCTCTTCTCAGGGGTGGGGAGGTCATCAAGAGGTTTTATACCTTTTAAGGTCACTTAAGGATTCCATTTCTGTGTATGTCCTTAACTTTTCTCCCTCTCATCTTCCAAGATGAGAACAGGCTTTCTGAAGTAGAAGTTATTAAATGGTGTGGTGAAGTAGATAAAATATTCCATTTATTCCATGCCATCAGCCCTCATGTTCCCAAGTGTCATTTGTTTGTTTTTTTGCTTATTTTTAAGGTTTCCAGTCCTTTATTTTAGAACTTTAGGTCTTCCTTCTGTTAGCTTAGACTCTTAGTCTTGAGCGGATGATGGTACTTGGTATGCTGCAAAACAATACACTTTTAAATTGCCATCTCTGCCCCACAGTGCCCTTAAAGACTTGCTAAGTCTTGTATGCTTCCAGATTTTCATTTTACTCTCAGTATTTAGCTTGGTACGGAACAGCATGTTCTGCTTGTACCTAGCTTCTAATGCTAACCTGAAATTTAGAAAGTGTTGGTTTGCTGCTACCGTTTTTCTATTCTGGAAGCAGCGGAGAGTGCTGCGGGTCATCTTCAGCTAGCCTTACTTTCTATTCTAAGTGGTATTGGCAGTGGAACACAGCAGCTGAAGTACAGAAACCATCTCATAAGTGGCTTGAATATGGAGTTTGGGTAATGTCGGGGAAGCTTGTTATATTTGAGATGTAGCTTATGGTCTTTCTCTTCCTTACTGGCTTATAACTTTGCTCTAATGTGCTTTGGTTAATATTTTGCTTGGTATTTCCAGCCACTGTCCATAGTAAGAATAGATCTTGCAGATAAAGACTGTGGTGCGTTTGAGATAAATCGTAACCTTTTTGACAGGGGAGTGCTGCTCACTTGAATAGTTGGGGCACAAAGGACAAGAAGCAGTTCTCATGAAGGTAAATCATGGCCATGTGTATGGAGATGGAGACATCCCTATAGTGTAGCTACGGACATCCTGCGTTGAGGACAGGATACCTTTCTTTTGAGCACAGAGTATGCATCCCATCCTTCCTTTGTCATCCTTGCTTTCCCTTTGGCAGTGTGGAGGTGCCACTTGAAAGGAAGCAGTTATCTGATTCCTCTGGAGTAACAGCACTGCTTCACAAAGGGGTGGTCTGGTGGGAGCTGCTTGTTCATCATGTGAGGGTGGCACTGCCATAGGCGAGTGGCACTGCCATAGGCGAGTGGCACCGCATACATGGTCTCCTGCAGGCACAGATGGTGGGACTCTGAAACTTAAGTTTTTTCACTTCAGTACTTGAATATTCAGTACCTGAGATACCCACTTGTCTGCAGGTATCTTTCTGGGTTGGGATTTTTTGGTGTGTGTTTTGGGATTTTTTAAGGGAAAAAAGAGCGTACTCATGTTAAATTTAGACATTTCTTGCTCACAAGGTCTTGCTGAAATTCTGATGTATTCTCTATTGGTCCTTTTCTCCTCATCTCTTAGTTAAAGAGTGGAGTGCAGGGTAGCGGTCATTTACTTGTGATAAAAACTGAGTGGACAAGAGAAATGTGCCTGTAATATGTTCGCATTACTCTTCGTGAAAAACTGTGTTCCTAATGGCTAAAAATGGCATGCTTTTTTGCTCTAGAATGAACAAAAAAAATTACTTTTAAAAGTAGAATGCTATATTAAGGAATTAGTTCTTATATACCAAAACCCTTTCAGAGTTTACAGAACCACAGAATGGTGGGGCTTGGAAGGGACCTCGAAAGATCATTCAGTTCAACCCCCTTGCCAGAGCAGGATCACCTGGGGAAGATCACACCAGGCGGGTTTTGAATGTCTACAGAGAAGGAGACACCACAGCCTCTCTGGGCAGCCTGTTCCAGTGCTCTGTCACCCTCACAGTAAAAAAGTTTTTCCTTATGTTTAGATTGAACCTCCTGTGTTCCAGTTTGCGACGATTGCCCCGTGTCCTGTCACTGGGCACAACTGAGAAGAGTCTGGTCCCGTCCTCCTGACGTCCACCCTTTAGCATTGATGAAATTCCCCCCTCAGTCTCCTCCAGGCTAAACAGACCCAGCTCTCTCAGCCTTTCCTCATATGGGAGATGCTCCAGTCCCCTCATCATCTTAATGGCTCTACACTGAACTCTCTCCAGTAGTTGCTTGTCCTTCTTGGACTGAGGAGCCCAGAACTGGATGCAGTATTGCAGATGGGGCCTCACCAGGGCAGTGTAGAGGAGGTTTAGTACTGCTTATGCCTTGAAACTGGTGCATAAAAGCAGATTTTTAACTTGTTGCAGAGTTTATGGTGCATTTAGATTATCTGTCTTGCACCTCAGTTTGGAAAGCGCATGAGTTCTTTTAGTTTTTCTAATTAATTGGTTTTCGAGTTCACAGTCATAGTGGCTCTAAAGATTGCAAAGATGATAGCAAATACAGAACACTGCCAAAACTAAAAAGGAAAGAGCAACAAAACATAGCACATAATTAGAAAGCACTAAGTTGTTCTCTTTTCCAAAGCATTGATTTGTTTTGTTTTTTTTTCCTTCAGCAAAATGTAGAACGTAAATAAAAAGTGTGGAAACTTAAAATGGAATCAAAAGTTATGTGTTTCACTGAATAGAAATCTGTCCTCTTCCAAGAAGAATGCAAGGAAAGTTCCTCTGAGGGTGATTCCTCAAAGAATTCACACTGACACAAGTGTAAATGCTCCTATTGTTGAGCAGTGTCTTAGCAAGATAAACTGCTGTAAACAGACTGTAAGAGGGTTTATGCAGTAGCATACATTTGTAAAATATTCATGAAAAGTAACTGTTAGCTAATGCTTTTCCAGTATTGAGGAATTTCCTTTTACAGTTATTTTCTATGTATCAAGGACTATATGATTTAGTGCTTTGTACAAAGTTGCATCACTGCTGCAGAAATTGCTCTGTCCTCCTGATAGGTTAGATAACTTGGGCTGCTTCCTTTGCAACATTGAGGTGAAGCACAAACCAAAGAACCCCACCCCCAAAAAACAACCAAACAAAAAAGATTACTTTTACACCTACTTTCTACGGCTACACAATTTATTTGGATATGGATGTCAAAATTACATGGCGACGGAAATTGAAACTAGAGACACAGAGATGAACAGAATGGTTTCTGGCATAGTTGTTGGTATAGTTCCTTGTTGAAGGGATCAGGGATAGTGACTGTATTTTACCCTCTATCAATTGTTTTGTTTTGGGTGTTTTTTTCGGAAGCCTAACTTAACACAGTAGATCCTGATACTCCTATGATAGTGATAAATGTTAGAATACTAATAGACAGTCATAACTTCTGGTGAACTGTTCCAACATAAGTATCTTTGAATTTTGCATCTGTGCCAACTTCAGCAATGCACTTTAATGCTACAGTTGTGGTAACCATGTCTAATGTCCAGTTATGACTGAACCTCAGATTCAGCCATTCAATGTCTTAAGGAAATAATGTGGAATTAATTATTTTTTCCCTCCTCTTAGTAGCTGGGCTGGACTTAATATGGTTGACTTACTGTCCTGTGAATAGTTGTTCTCTAGTTCATATTTATAAATATTGAGACTTACTTGTTTTCTTACAGGTGCCACAAAATACACTGATAAAGATAATGGAGGGATGCTTGTATGGTCTCCATATCATAATATTCCAGATGCCAAATGTAAGTCCTTCCCTGCTTAGGAATTTGGATTCTTCAGTATAACTAAATAATTGTTTCTGGTGTGCCTGTTCACTCACTATTTTTACATGCAGTGAGATCGCAAATTAGTAAATTAAACACAAAGCTTCTCTTTTTTTATTTAGAGAAAGCCAGGAAAAGGAAGTGTCACCTTTTATTTTATAGTTAAATCTTTTTTTCAAATCACGCTGCCTGTGTTGTATCATCATCAGTGTCTGTGAAACCTTCATTAATAAAATAATAAAACATCTAAATGTGAGGAACTTGCTGCACAAAACTTCTAGCAGAAGGCATTGCAGTGCATAAATTTAGAAAAGATCTGTTGAGGTCCAGTTCAAGGGGAAATTATTATTGCTCTTATCAGAAAAAGCTGGGCATTTACTCCGTTCAAGTGTGACCTGAAATATAGGAGTCATCTGACTATATGTTTTCTATTTAATCTAGTTTTAACCTGCCTCCTGTGCTAGAATTTCTCATATGTAATATAGGGGAGTAAACTTTGAGGATGCAGTCATGAGAACACGATCTTCAGGACAGTTTCTATCTATTTCCAGTAGTTAAAGGTTTGTGTCCCTCTACATTTGGAAGAATATACCTTCTACTACTGAAGAACAGTTAGAAATAAAATACTCTATAATTATTAAATACTTTCTTCATTACTTTAGAGTACAACTCCTTGCTGCAGCAGTTCATGGCAGGGACATCTCTGGTCGATTTGAGCAGTGAGGATATAGTTACTTCCTTTTCAGGATCATGCTTCGTTTCAACTATATTTAGTTGTCACTTAATTGTGAACTGCAGAAGGGGAATGGGAAAAGTTGGTTTCTTTAAAAATAAAGTAGCCATTGAAGATCAAAAATTAGCGGGATTTACTTGCAAAATGATGGAAAGTGTTCAACTCAAAGCTGACTCTAGTATGGCCAAATATGATTTTTCTGAAAAGTTACTGGTGAATTTGATGACCTCATTGTTGAATTTTCATATTCTACATTGAAAACTGACTTCATGCCATGGTTAAAATTAATGCTGGTCGGTGAAAACTGTATTAATATTGAGGATATGCATAATCATTGATCTAGGATGTCTTTACATTAATTTTTAATGTGTTTGGGAATACGAACAGTAGAAGTAGTTCAATTTGAAACTAACCCAGGTGTCTGCACACACTCCCAGTGTGTCTGTTTTGTTAGGAGTATGTTCCAAGAAGACATAGCCTTTCAATAACCAGCTAGTCTGATTTAAATAAATGATGAGCCTTTGTGGCTTTGTTGTAGTAAACATGTGAAAGAAAGCATCTTTTTCACTGAGAATTAGCCTGTATAAAAAGTTTATAAAATTAAATGTTGAATTAAAAGACAGTAGGATTATTTATTATTAATAAAGTTATGAATATTTTAATGTTTGGGGGAACCTGGGCCTATGCAATGTATTAAAGCATGGGGAGACTTTTCCCATGTTGGATGGCTGATTCTGTGTCACCTTATAGCAAAACTAAAAGTACTAAAGAATGATTCTGATATTGTTTTGTTACAGTGGATGAATATATAGCAATAGCAAAGGAAAAACATGGATACAATGTGGAACAGGTAAGTGCTATGAAATGAGAATGCTCATTTAAAGGATTTTTAAATATAAAAGTATAACACAACTCTTTTTTTCCCCTTGGTTACCATTAATTAACGCTGTTTCTCTTCAGGCACGGCAGCAAACACTGCAGTTAAATGGATCTGCATACAGTTGTGGTCTGGATTCTCTGCAAAAGATTGAGCTCTTTGTTTTCATGACATGCTCAGCTTGTAATGTGCACTTTAAAAGGTTTGGTATGTTTCTTGATACACTGGGCATGTCATGTAATTGTGTGTGTATATTTAGCTAAAGAATTTCTTAGGAAAGCATCTTAACAGATTTAATGTTTAATATTAGAATTAAAACACAATACAATTTTGAACCATTAATTGCCATAGGGACAGCACTGGAAAGGTTTCTTGCATATTTAAAAAAAAGAGGCAAATGAACTTAAAAGTGTTTTTTTTCAGAGGCAGGAAAACAGAATTAAATTCTAGGTTTGAGACTTAACACATTCATTTTTTAAAATAACCTTTAGACACCATCCTGTAACAAGTACAGGATAAAACGTTGCTGGTCTGCTCTTAGTTCTGTTGCAAATTTCTTCATAAATTAACCAATTTATTTATAAGTGAGATTATGTATTGCAAAAGAAGTATTTGGTGTACGAGTGGAAACAAGTTGCCTGATCAGGTTTTGGAGGATGGAAGCTCATAGTGGCAAAGACTTGCTAGTCAGCCGCCAATGTTTTGATGTCCAGAATCCTTGCAGTTTGGTGATGTTTGTTTATGGCTTGGCTTTTGTTAGGGGAGAGAGGGAAATGTAGAATCTCAAAATAAGTCTACAAAAAAGGCTAATTTCCAGAACAACTTGTGGTGCAAAATATTTATAGACTGCTCACAGTGGAATAGAAATTATCTTTGGAAGAGGTGCTTGTCACTTGCCATGTTAACAACAAAACAAGTTTGTTATGTCCAGGTTATTAGAAGATGTGACATCTGGGGTTTGCAGAGCTGATCAGATCTGCACTGTACGGTTGCAACTGAGTGGATTATATTTCCCAGTTCCCATGCCAGACCTGGCATCTGACAAATCTGTCATTGATTCTCTGGCAGAAAGTGTAATCAGTGTAAAATTCTTTTAAGAATATCTAGAAATGAAATTATGTAAGAAAATATATTTAAATTTCCATTCTTATTAGGTGCACATGACATGGAAGTGGCCATGCTGTTGTTTGTGGATTGGAGAGTTGTAGAAAGACCACTCTTACATTGAACTTTCAGACTTGCATTTTGGATGATCCTCTGGCTGCTGAAAAGTATTCTTTTTTTTTTTTTTTTTTTTTGAGAGGGCTGGTAATAAAGGCCTGAAGCAGGTCAGATTTGAGCCTGTCAGCCTAGGTCATACTGCTTCAGAATTACTGCTGCCATACCAACCTTAAATTGTCTAGCTTTCGTAGCTAGCTTAAGTACAGATCTGGCCACTGTTCATCCTGTCTCCAAAGAGAATTTTGTAACCTATAGTACATAACCAACAAAATTGTAAATACGTTCTGAGAAGGCCTTCTGATAGTCGAATTTTATTTTAAATAAATAAATTGTGGTTTTTTTGTTTAACTTGTCTCAACATTGTAGAAAGTTGACTAAATCCAAAAAGGGACTATTTTTTTTCAAAGGCTCTCGGCATGTTGTTCTGGCATAAACACAATATTGAGAAGTCTCTTGCGGATCTCCCTAACTTCACTCCTTTCCCTGATGAATGGACAGTTGAAGATAAGGTCCTATTTGAACAAGCATTTAGCTTCCATGGAAAGAGCTTTCACAGGATCCAGCAAATGGTAAAGTAATATTTTAATTAGAAGCATAAAACAGTTCAGATGCAGTAAGAACAAAGGCTCCAGTTGGGCTATAATTTCATGTTGGTTTCTGTGTAAAAGCTTCAGGAACAACTTTGAATATAAGATTTAAGTTAATTTCATAGTATCTTTTGAACATATAGCTCTTTCACTAAAAAAAAAAAGCCTTTCCTCCCCTCACCTTAAAAAAAAAAATGTAAACTAAAAAGTAAACTTTCCATCCCATCCATGTGTTTAAGGTATTTGGGTAAAGGTGGTTGTGAATAGAGCAGAATTACAATCTTGGGTGGAATTTTAATTTTAAAAACTATTAACATGTTAATGAATTCTTCTAGCTTCCAGACAAGACCATTGCAAGCCTTGTTAAATATTACTATTCTTGGAAAAAAACTCGCTCTAGGACAAGTTTGATGGATCGACAGGCTCGAAAACTAGCTAATAGAAATAATCAAGGTGACAGGTAAGTTTTACATTCTTAAGTAGGTAACCAGAGACTGAAGTCTTTGCAGGTAGAGATGTCAGAGTAATTTCCAGTCATTATGTTTCAGCGTGAACCATGTTTTTAGGTTTGAGCATCTGTGGTGATGTCTCTGCTTTTATACCTGTACCTTAATAACTATATCGCTCCAGTCAGTGCGAGTTGTAATAACACACTTAATGCTTTAATGGATAACTGTAAAAACAAGGGTTTGAAAAACCTGAAGTCTGGGGATGTGGTTCAGAAATAATGCTTTATTTGAGAAATCTAACACTATATTACTGTTGGTTTGAGTTTTTTGAACTAGAATGGAATTAAAACTGAAAGATCAACCAGTGTGAAGAGCTGTAGCAATTAGAATGCCCAAGTACTGTTTTACAACAAAACTTTGCACTTTTTAAAGTGACTTAATATATTGAATGTGTAAGTAACGTAATCATGTTTGTATTGGAAAGTATGATTTTACATCTACAGAAAACTGCTTAGCTAGAGCAAAAGGGTCTATTTAATTATATGTTATTGAAAAATACTCCTGAAATGTAACATTCATGTGCTTGCTTACTTGACCCTTTAGCTGAAAAATTACAGGGGGCGGAGGGGGGAAGCTTATGACAGTATTTGGGGGGAAGTTGTAGTAACTAGAAATTTTTGTTGGGTTTTTTAATTAATTTATTCAGAAAATATATTGTGTGAATGACTGGATTGGACTCACATAAACTAACTGTTGTCTTTTCAACCTTTTCTCTTGGATTTAATTCAGCAGATTTCATTCCTTCTTTACCCTCCTCCCTTGCAATTGCTAGATCTTGAGCACTTTGGTGAAAAAGCAGTCCTGTGTTTTCCCATCTTAGATTTTTCCCTTCTGCTCTCCACAGACTTCAACAAGGGTTTATTCCTACATCTGGTGCAGTGGTTTGAGAATTGTTTAAAAGTAACGTTTAACGATTAAAACTAATGTGGCAAATAAAAGGTTATTTCTAGCCTTGGTATAGATGACCATGTAAGTGTTCGCAAGTGGTTGAATTAAGGAAAGGTGACACCAGATTTTTTGACAGCAGCACCAGCACTGCTTAAAATAATTTTGAAACTACAGTTTAGGATTGCTTGTTTATCATAATAGTTACTGGAATTTAATAAAGAAAATAATGTTTATAACAGCTCTCTTTTGAAAACTGCAAATAACTGAGATGCCATGTACTTAGAGTAGTTATTTTAGAGTAGGTAATTCTGTATTACCCTGATACATATTTATATTTGGGGTTAAAAGATAGATAAAATGACCAGCTTCTTATCATCTGTCCTCAGTGATGATGACGTAGAAGAAGCTCATCCAATGGATGGAAATGATAGTGATTACGATCCCAAAAAAGAAGCCAAAAAGGAGGTAACAGATAGCGTAATGGTGAATGTCAGTTTGTTTGTTTTCTGTGAATGTGTAACTGTGAAGAATATGACTTGTATATTTTTTTGCCAGTCTGTGGACATAAATGCATCTCTCATTACCTTGACTATCTCTTGAGAGATCTTCAAGTTTTGTAAGAGATGTGTGCTGTCGGTACCTGGTAAAAAACATTCCCCCTTTTTCTGTCTTGTTCATAATGTTTACAGTTTTACTGGGGGTGTATTATTGGAATTGAAGTGTGACACTTTTCCAAGAATAACTTTTTTAGTTCTTTCAAAGCCACAGTAAAGTTATGCATTTCAACTAATATGTGGCTTCATTGAGATGATTTCTACCAATATTTGTAGAGAAAAACATTTTTGTCTACTCTAACGAGCGCTTACTGTTAGCTTTACAGATAAGTGCTGTGTTTGGGGCATGTTCAAGTTTTAGAGTTTTTGGGAGTTCTTTTGATAAACATTCAGTTATTTATGAACAAGACTAGAATAACACAGTTAAATGTGTAAACGTTTGATTGTTTCCTTGATCAATTTAATGCATTTGTGATTTTCCTAAAATGGGACAGTTCACGCCTCTTGAGAATATGAGAAGAGAGGTGGTGCAAAACCTCAACATTCCCATGAAGTGCTATCTAGGAGTATTCATTTCTATCAAAAATGATGTTGAATAAGATGCTGATAGGATTAGATTCCACTCTCAACTTTGCAGTGACCTTCAGTGTGTTGCTTTATTACCTACCTGCCTCAGGGAGAGAAAAAAAGACAATTACAGTTAGCCCTTTCTGTAAAGGAGTATGAGATTTTCTTTTTTTCCTTTTTTTTCTTTAACATGCCAGGATATGCTTTTAAGAACTTGAGATGGCACAAGGTCTAATAATGAACCTTTTTACTTTTCATTCTGCTGTTGTAACAGTGTTCCTGCAATCTGTTGATTTGAGTTGCTGCCTAAGCCAGTTCTAACTAAGGGCAATTTTGTTCAGTTTTCTTTCCTTGGTTATTGTTTGAATCACTACACGCAGTCCGGAATGGAAGTAGTGTATTCATAGACTTCTAGGAACACAACAAATAGGTTTGCAGTTTCTGATGCTATTTTGATGTACATAAGATAATTTTGTGATCTAATATTTCTGGTAGGATTTGTGTACTTTCACTTCCTAAGCAAAATGTAAACTGAGTAGGCTACTTGAACATGCAGAGCAATGGAAACTTTCTGTTACCAGAGAAAACTAAACCAAGCCAAACACTGTAGCTTGGCAGGACAAAAGCGTAAGAGGAAATTTTCACTTTAAATCCAGGTTGAACAGACAGAAACTATAACTTCATACTGAAAGAGCAATGCAGAACCAAAATGAAGAAATGGTCAAAATAAGCCAGACATAAACTTTACCATAGCATTTTTAGATGTCAAAGACGTAAGACTCTGTATCAACTTTCCAAGGAAGAACAAGTATCTTAAGTGCTTTTAAGACAGCCTCTATGAAGTCTGTGAGCTGGATTAAGATGTTACATTAGCTGGGAAGATGTGGCAGAAGGTCAAGCATAGTAGAGCAAAATACTGCTTGCTGAGCTGTACTAATGCTACAGAACAGAACAATTATGGCTGCTGCAGTTTGTTTTCACTGTGATCAGATGACCATCTCCTCATAAGCTGCATGGGTGCCAGCAGGGAGGAGCAGTAGGGAGCTGCTTGAAGTAGCAGAAAGCCTGAATCCCATTTCTGTTCTGGTACTGAATATTGCTTTGAATTGGAAAATGCTTGCAGGGAAAGTAATTTTTGCTCCTCTGCTCCTGGGCTGTGGGGTACCCACAGCTGCTCTGTGGGAGTCACGTATCTGCAGACGAGCTGTCATGCAGCAATGCCCATTGAAGACAAAGCTGAAATTCTGAGATGTCCAAGCATACCAAAACAGCTGTTACAAAGACTTCATCTCCTCTTTGCTACCCTTTTCCACTTCAAAAAAGCAAACAATAAAGGCTTAAATTTTCTAAACTACATGGATTTTTATGATCACTGCAAAAGTACATCCATCCTCTTTTCCGAATCTCAAATCCATACCCAAAGCAAACAGCACTATTGCTTTCCATAGAGTGCTCGCAGCAGGGAAAAGTGTAATCTTGTATTTTTGCACATCCTGGTTGACTTTCTCTTGTTCTCCCCTGATCTTCACCTGAAGTCTTCATATCTGACCATAAATAAGTGTGTAAATTCACTGATTGCTTGGTTTAAACGTGTCCTAAATATATATCTTACCTTCTGCGTACATAAGAGGTTCTTGATTTTTGCCCTCTTTCACAGTATTTGGACTGTGATTTCTATACCATTTATTGTGTATTGAGCCATTATTTAAAAAAAAATAAAAGTTTTGAAAACTGACCTTTCTAAGACTAATGCAGGCTTATCCAGCAAATGACTGGTACACTCCTTCAGATCATCTGCAAGACTTAGTTTGAATACTACATGCAGAGGAGGATGTTAGCTTAGGTTTTCTTTCTCATAAATATGACTTTACAATTCTATGTGATACTTTATTTTTTAATAAAGTTGTATACAAGATATTGTTATTCTTTAATTATTTATTTCTTGTAAATTAAAGGGCAATAATGAGCAGCCTGTTCAGACCAGCAAAATAGGTCTGGGTAGAAGAGAGTATCAGAGCTTGCAGCATCGCCACCATTCTCAGCGTTCCAAATGCCGTCCACCAAAAGGCATGTACCTGACCCAGGAAGATGTGATAGCTGTTTCCTGTAGTCCCAATGCAGCCAACACAATTCTTAGACAGCTGGATATGGAACTAATCTCATTAAAGCGACAGGTACCATGGGTTATTGGTCTTGTTTTGTTTTCATCTCAGATTGTTCCGATTCTAATGAGTTTGAACATTACCTGTGAAGATTCTGAAACTTCTTTGAGTCTTCCTAATTTTGTTCCACAGTTATCACCAGAAATGCTGGACACTAGCTGACTGGTTTTGTCAGACTTTGGTTTTGTTCATCTGTTCTTGTGTATAGCATGAAACAAGATGACTTCCTTTAAAAAAAAAAAGGGGGGGGGGGGGGGGGCGGGTGTATGGCATGAAAACAATGTTAGAGATTTAGAGATGGGAGAAAACCGAAGTCTCATTTAATTTGGGGTTTTTTTTAACTTTGTTAAAAGTCTTTGTGTGATAAGTGAGAATAAGACCATTGAAGCAGAGGAAGTTTTATTCGTTATGCTTAAAATTGTAGCTGTTTCTCTTGATGTCCTTCTCCACATACAATGAAAGTATGGGAGAGGGAATCATGGGCCTAGTTATTTCTCTGTTCAAATTGATGAGCTTTCTACTTATTAAATTTAGGAAAGTTTTGTAGTCTTCACCTTTAAGAGGAAAATTGCCTGCATCGTTTGCATGAAGAAGTTAACTTCTGGCACTCAGAGTTGAAACACAGAATCTATTCAGCTTCTGAGGGTTACAGCAGTACATGCATGCTTGCTTTCTAGGAGTGATGGGGCTACAGAGTCAAGGCTTATCTCCTGGAATTTCCGCCTCTTTATAGACTGCTAAGAGCTGCCATGTTGCAAAGTCATGGAGTGAATAAAGGATTTCATGGGGTTTTTGCTCCCTTGTATTCTTTTACAGGAGATATATGCTTCTTTCTGTCACAGCAGAACTCTGGGGCTAAATAGCATAGGTGGGTTTCAGTCTTTAGCCTAAGTATAGGTGAGTTACAACCTTGAGGTTGTGTTTCTCTCTTTTTTTCTTGCAGTGATTTCAGAGACGCAGCCTTTGGAATCTCCCACTGAGTTGTCTGCTTTTGTGTCCATACTTAAAGAACACTTATAATAGCTGTGCACCCTATATAGTATGCAAAACTATTTTTGTACATATATTACCTCACATGCATTGCTGTCAGATTTTAAATGGTGAATAGATATGTATGTGTATGGTTTGGAAGCTCTCTTGTTTTTATAGACTAAGATATTTTATTTACATGCTTTACATCATTTCAAGAATCACCCTTTCATTATGAACTGAGGTCAATAAATAGCAGTCTGTCAGAAGGAACTAACTGGAAACATCTCATAAAACCTTTTTTCTCTTTTCAAAGTGCTTTTTGGAGAAGGGAGAAGTTAATATATACACTACCTCTCAGTTTTCTAAGACTGAAGTTTTGTGTCTAGAATATTCTGCATTTATCTTCACGAACAGATGCATCATTATCAAAACTTGCTTGCTATGTCCTACTTTTAATATTCCTGCAAACTGTTCTTTCGAAAGACTGGCTTAAATATTTTTCTCTCCATAGTAAGCTGTGCTGTACTTTTTAAATTATTTTTTTTTAAACAGTTAAACGTAGTGAAGCCTTAAACCATAATATTTCTCTTTCTAACTTAGGAGGTACACTTGTGGCAATCCTAGTGAAGATATATGTGTAAAGTGACCAACTTTCTTTGTGGAGCTGATTAACTTTGTTGTTTTTGACCAAGGTTCAAAATGCTAAGCAAGTAAACAGTGCACTTAAACAGAAAATGGAAGGCGGGATTGAAGAATTCAAACCTCCTGAGGTAAATTGGAATAAATATTAGAACTTGTGGCCTTGTGCTTAGATTAGTGGGAAGCTACAGAACTGTGTTTTGCTGCAGCATAGTGTGTGCATTTCAGCAGCAGCTTAAACAGGATCCATTGAATTACATGCAGGGGTGAGTCTCTCTGGCTTCTTTACAAGAAATTAGTGGTAGGCTTTTATATGGCAACTGGCTGAATAAAGCAGAAGAAACTGAAATGTCATGGCTATTCAGCTCTATTTCAGGAGCTGAAATCAAGCCCAGATATATGGATGTTTTTCTGTTTAAAAGTAATTAATGTAGATCGCTAGCAATAAATTCTATGTTCTGTGTGAAAACTTGACTATATATACATTTGGGCATCCAAAGTGAATGATTTATTACTACTGAGGTTCTCTTTTTGCTTGTTTTAAAGGCATGGATACGAAACATAACGTGAATGCAAAACACTGCAGACACCAAGTCCTAATAGTTTAGATAAATGTAACTACAAATTCAGATTCTGACTGCATAAAGATCATTAGCTTGTGCATAAGTTATGACATAGCCGATATTAAGAACTGTGACAATACAGGGGAAAAAAATATTGATGTACTTCTAAGCTTAAATCCGTAAATGCTACTTCCTCTTCATGAAAGCAATCTTAAGCTCTAATTCTGTGGTTTATAAGCAAGAGATTTTTAACAATGTTACAAAATGCAGTGCAAGTAAAACACATTCTGATGCTCAGGGATTTTGCAGCTGTTAAAACACTGTAATGATCTTTGTGCCATTTTTCTAATTTTAATAGTCTAATCAGAAAATCAATGCCCGTTGGACCACAGAAGAGCAGCTTCTTGCAGTGCAAGGTATGTTAATAGTAGTAGCGACTTGAAATCTGATGCAAAGGATTTGAAGAGGTACTTAGGCTTATGTTTGTATTTCCCACTAATGAAATGCTAAACTTTATCTGGTCTCACAAGAAAGTCACTGGGAAAACAACAAAACTAGTGAGAATATTTAGCGTATTCATTCAAGTAACATTGCACTAGTCTTTCAGTTACCCATATTAAATTTTAAACCCAGTTAAGCTTTTCTAACTAGTAGTACCAGAAAGTCCCTTCAATCATCTTCTAAATAGCCTTAATTTCTCTGAAGTAGAAGACTGAAGTGATAGTTGAAGTAGTAAAATCTGAAGCAAACACTTGTTTAAGTAGGAAAGTCTTAAAGAAGAAAAAGTAGAAGTAAAACTGCTTTACAATTACTTTTTCTGTTCATGAGGGAATAAAAGAGCAGATATGTACCCAGTGAAAGCCTTTTAAGAGTCTGAAGCTGGATATAGATACTTGACTAACAGTCTTATTGGAGAAAAAGGAAAATTTTCTAGCAGGCTATCAATGCAGCTAATTTGCAGTTATTTCATTTATATGGAGGAAAACTGACTCTTCACTGCCTAATAAGGAACATATAAGGAAAATATCTGGAGAGCCTAATGCTGTCTCGAGGTCACTATATACTGACTCACTTCTGTGGATCATCTTTCTTAAGATAATATGATTAGCTCAGTGAAACATAGCTGCTTTATTTCTCTGTATTCTTCACCTCCTTTGCAATGGAAGACTGAATTTTAGTACAAAACCTTCAGTTAGATCATGATACCAGTGTAAAGTTGTCAGGTGTGCCATACCTGGTAGTTATTAGCCAGATGACTGATTCTAAAGTTAGGTTTATTTATTTTGAGGTGTGAATATAAATACTGAAGAGCATGGTATGTCTGAAGTCATGCCTCTCAACTTACATGCCTCAGACTGGGATTTACATCTCCAAACCATTTTCTGTCTTCGGTTCACCCTCTCAGTATTGCTGGCAAGCTCACTTTTTTTATTCTGTTCCCAAATGCAACTGAGGGAGATACTTAATTTTAATATGATAGTCTACAAAGTAGAATGCTTGCTGGAAAAGTTGGGAAAACTCAGGTTCATTGTTCCATGAAAGAATTAAAACCCTCTTGCATTTTCATAGTTTAGTTATTGGAGCTCTCACTAAGCATCAGTTTGGGAAGCAGTAAGAATGTGTTGAGCTGTTGTCAAGCTATGACACTATGTGACCGACAAGGTAAATAATAACACGGGAGGATGGGCAGAAGAGACTGAGGGCTGGGGATGACTCCCTAGAGAGAGGTTCTGGTCTTCTGATCCTTTACTCTAGGGAGTGTTCTGTGTTTTATGAAGGTGGCCAGCTGCAGTACGTAAGGGTAGGGTGAGAAATCAGGCCTTCTCGAAGAAACGTGTTTTCATTGAGTTTACACATGCTTCTTATAGGTATTGTTTCCTTTTTAGTCCCCTTCCTTTCCCACTTTGTAAAATGGAGATGGGAAAGCACCGTAACATCAGGGACAAAATATTCTGGTTATCCCTCCCTTACCTACTGCCCAGTAGTAAAGTCTCCCTCCTGGAATGAGAGTGCTGTCGGTATTAACCTCCTGTCTCTCAGCCTAAGGACCCTGATCTCTTGCTTCAAAATAGCTGCTTGAGCAAGTAGACTTAGGCATGAAGGGGCTATGCTGTCTTTTGCCCTGACTGTTTTTGAAAGAAAGTAGCCATGGTTGCTGTACTAAAAGCTACCATAATATGTGTTAGGCTTGAACTTGGAAGTTGACTTGAACATGAGGACGTTTAGTTTGTATATTTAAAATAGATTTATTTTATCAAATGTATTGATAAGTTTTGGCATATGCTTTTAATAATTTTACAGAAATCATAAGTATTAAGCAGGTAGGTGGCAGTTCTGTGATTTATTCACTTGAATTCAGACATTAAATCCTACTGTGGAAATCATAAAAATAACCTGCAGTAATATAATTTTGGTGCTGTTTTACCCTAAACAGGAAAAAACTTATGTCAGTTGTGGGCTAGTCTCAAGAGATTGGCAGTAACTAAAGAGGAGGTAATGACAAAACTCACCTTAATATAGAGCTGAGTGTGTGATCTTAAAAGCAGTGTGGCTGCCTGCAGTGAGGTTGAGGACTCAGAATTAAGATCTCTGAGCCGATCTTTTGCAGTATGGTTTATCAGGTTACTGTTCAATTTTATCTGGATAGTTATTCAATGTAAGGGGCCAGTTACTGACTTGAGGTGTTCCTAAGTTACAAACTTTAATTATGTATAGAAATGTACAAACCTGATTATCTTTTCAGTCTAAAATCTCAGCCATATGAAAATTGCAATTGCAAAAATATTTTCAGACTTGTTCAAAACAACAAAATTTTAATTGAAAAGCAGTACATGACTTTCATAGCATTGCTGTGGGAAAACAGCTGGGACAGGTGGGATCTAATTCTGTATGAGGTGGTTGTCAGGAGCACTGTAATCCCATCCCAGTGGAACTGCAGCTTTCATAACCTGGAGTTTGCCGTTAACTATTTCTGCCTTCTTGTGGTGTTCTATTTTGTTGCTTTGGACCCAAGCTAATGTTTTGTGTGCCTGTCAGCGTTTGCTGTGCTGCACAGTGTTAAGCAGCATAGACAGCATTAAACTTGAATTTATAATTTCACCAAGTTAGACATTCAAGATGAAAAACTGTAGTAGTGAGCATTCAAGTGCACCTTTGCAACTGGGTGAAATTTCAAAGAGCTTAAAGGATTTTCCATGATCAGGGCTACTTTAAAATGAGCCAGGAGAAAAGACATTTATACGTGTGAAGTGAGGCTATGCAGTCATCTGTTTTGAGCTTCACTTCCAGCAACCTAATAAAATTATTTTTATCGAATAACAGATTAAACACTTTAGAAATAATTTGGGTGGTGTTTAGCACAAAATTTGTGTAAGGATGTGTAAGTAATGTGCACCAATTTGAAAGGGATGATGCTTGGCATCAGCTCTTACGGATATGCCAGCATCGTATGCATAAAACTTTCATAAGCATGTATTGAACTTTCTCTGTTTCTGATGCAAGGATTGAAAGGATTTTCTGCATCGTTGTATAGAAGTCATTGTGGTGATGCTAGAGCAGTACTAAATAATGCTGAAATGAATCCAAAATGAATAGTGCTGTGTGTAGCTAAACTAAGGAAATTTATTTTCTTCAGATATTTCTTATAGTTGGGCTCTCACTGAAGGCAATATAAGCTGTTTTCAAGCTCTTTGCTTGGAAATAGGCTTTAAGACCTTATTTTTGACAACTTCAACTAAAGTTAGCCAACAGGCACAATCATTTTGCAGATTAACGGACAGGAAGACGTATAGACAGAACAGTAACAGAAAAGGCTGGAATCACTAAAACTCTGAATTAGGTTTCAAACAAAAATGTACTTTGTTCTGCTGGGCACTTTTTTCACTTGATTAATTGTACAAGATGTTAGATATGTTGCAGTGGACATTTAATAATCATTACAAATTACTAAGGGCAGTAATGGTTGTGCAATCAAAGAATATTAAAACACTGGAGGGAGTGCTCTGTGGGCACACGCAGCTTTTAAGGAGTAGAGCTGATAGCTTGTACAACTGATAAAGTGCAGAGCCAAATCCCTGTCTTTGCTTTGTGTGGATACACCGCCTCCCACGTGGCTCTGCTGCGTCCCTTTGTTTTCTTTCCAAGGTTCATGCAGTCAGGGTGATTGGATTCTTTTATGTCCCCCAGAAAAGATCTTAAATAATGTAGCTGGGCTCTTGACAGTTGAAACATAAGCTTCGACTACAGAAATTGTTATTGTGCTGGAGCTGAACTTTTCTCTTAAATTGCAGTGAGTGTCCATTACGATATCAGAAGTGCCTATTAACGAAGAAAGTAAAAAAAAAAGGCAGAACAAGCTGAAGGTCATACTCTTCACAATTAAATTGAAAAGGAACATAACTTTCAGATTTGAAACAGCACTCACTTTCTGAATCCTTTGCTTCACTTTCTGAAGTGAGGCATGAAATCGGGCATAACTTTCTTTTCCTGTAATGAGACAGAGTGCCTCTCCTCTGAGCACTGTAATGTGTTCTGAGTGAGTTTAGTTATCAGGAGCTTCACAGAAGAAGTCAAATTGTAATTCATTAATGCATAGCTGAGAACAAAAATTTAGTCTTCTCTTTACTCAGTCTGGAGTAAAACTCTGTTTTATTTCTTTTAGTCTCCAAACTTTTGGACACTTGTGATTAAAAATATACTTCGTGCAGCTAAAAGTTGTGTTCTAGGGTGCTGGAGAGTTTGAGGATTTTTATTTTCTTAAGCAGGAGAGGGGGGGGAACTAGACACATACCCTAAATACAACCAAGAGAAAATTAATAGATTTTAGGTTATAATTCCAGTTTTAGGTTAGAAACTATGGAATGTTGTACTGAAGGGTTTTTTGTGTTATAAGCAAATGTCGTTTTATGCAAATGTCGTTATAGAACTTCAAAAAGTACATGTTAGGATTTTCTTGTTAAGTATTTCCTTGTGAATTGCTTCTAAACAAAGGTGACCTACTGGTGTCAGTATGAAAATGAGTGAAAAGAACAATGCAAAGATCCTGTCATGCTGCTTCTTCCTGGAGAATTTGATCCTGGAGGCTTGTGCTGGGCTGTCTTATAAACAGACACCAATAGCATATATTTACTTACCTTCCTCAGGGTGGTTGTCCCAAAACCCCAGATTTCTCTACCCAGCTCAAATGATGAGTGAAAGCTTTAAAAAGACTTTTTCAGGTGAATGCTTGCCAGTTGCCCTTTGTAGCCTCAGTAGAGCACATGACAATCGCAGGAGTGAACAGTGTATCGTGACTTACAGACCTGTGCCCCCTGTTCTGCCCTGTGCTTGATCCAGTAGCTGCTGCCCTCTGCCTCTCCTGCTGCATAGGGTGTGAGAAAAGAAACATCTGTGTGCAGCTGGCACGGAGGGAACCTGTAGAAACTGTCAATGTTTGTCATTGACATTTCTAGTGTCATAACCCTGTTTACAGCTATACACACATACTCGGTCTGTCTTGAACTTGTCTTGGGCTTCTGCCCTTACAGCAAGCACACTGAAGGATTTACTTTTTTGTCAAGAGGCCAAATCTCTGTGGTTGGGAGGCTTGGTGAATAAGCCAGGATCTTTAAGAGTGGGTAATGATGTTTTAATAAAGTTCTTGATTTGTTACGTTGGTAGCTATGCAATTAAAAATTATTTTGTTTTAATGGAAATTGAGGCCTTCTCCTAATTGAGAAGTCCTCCTAATTAGCGAGTCCTTGGTTTGAGGGTCCCATAGGTTCTCTCTATAAATACATCACACGTAGCTGTGTCTGACTGATTCTTCACAGCTATGTTATTTACTTTGCCTTCCAGGTGTCCGAAAATATGGTAAAGATTTTCAAGCTATTGCAGATGTAATTGGCAACAAGACTGTTGGCCAAGTGAAGAACTTCTTTGTAAACTACAGGCGTCGGTTTAACTTAGAGGAGGTATTGCAGGAATGGGAAGCGGAACAAGGAACCCTGGCTTCTAATGGTGATGCTTCTGCTTTAGGGGAGGACACAAAAAATACTTCTAATGTGCCATCAGGAAAGAGCACTGATGAAGAAGATGAGGTGTGTTTTGTGTACCAGAAATAAGTAAGCATGGGTTGAGGAACAGCATTTTATTTAGTGATAAAATGTAAGGTTAACTGGTGTGGAGTGGCAAACCGCATTCTAAAGAATGATGATGAGCTTGCATAGAGCTTCAGCCAATGTCGTTAACCAGCTGGGAGCAGGACTGCACCTTCCATAGTGACGATCACGTTACTGCTTTATTGTTAAAATACAGTTCTTGTTCTAGAAGAAGACTCTTGCTTCATAAATATTTTTAGTTCTGCTGTCTATAATGTTTTGGTTGGTGATTTCTTTTCAGTAACTTCTCAGTTTTTTGGTTTTGTGTTTTAAATGCTGTTTCCTGTGTAGTGGCCAGTGGCAGCCCAAGTGCATCGCGTTCCGGCTGGGATGGCTGTTCACGCGGTCTTGTCTTTGTCCTTTGTGCAGGCACAAAGCACTCCGGCCACTCAGTGTTTAGGCCCTTCACCTCCAGCACAGGCATCTGCTCCAGCACCTACTGCTCCCATGGCAACTTTAAATCAGCCGCCCCCGTTACTTCGTCCAGCGCTTCCTGCTGCTCCTGCTCTCCATCGTCAGCCTCCGCCACTTCAACAGCAGGCGCGATTTATTCAGCCAAGGCCGACTCTAAACCAGCCTCCCCCACCACTCATCCGCCCAGCTAATTCCATGCCTCCTCGTCTAAACCCAAGGCCAGTGTTAACCACAGTTAGCGGCCAGCAGCCACCCTCACTTATCGGAATTCAGACAGAATCCCAGTCCACTCTACACTGAAGAAATCAAGCAGAATTATGCTAACTCCTACATCTGAAAAATTCTATCAATGTGCTTTTTTTTTCCTCTTTTTTTTTTTTTTTTCCAAATAATGAAGGGTCAAAAAGAGCAAGCCTTCACAGGTATCAAACCAGTTTTACAGAGGAGCAAGCTAATAACTAGAAATGGAACCATGTGAATGACCACCTGTATAAAAATATTTTTATGTCGAAGACTTGTACAGCAGAACAATGCCTACAGTACAGCCCTCCTCTAGATGAATAACTGTCGAAGGAAGCTAACTTCTTAAATGAATAAATGTTCAACGCACCAAGATTTTGTTTAACTGATTTTTACTCTATTTATTTTATTACAGTTCTTTGTAGTCAAGCATCTAACTACAGGAAAGTAGTCTGGCAAATCTAGGAATAGATAATATTGTAGGAGACTTAAATGTAGCCTTGGGGTTTTTTTTTTTGTGTGTGTGTGTGTGTGTGTGTGAATTATTTTGGTTTTTGCTTTTTAGTGGAAAAAAAAATGGCTTTAGGTTCATAATTTTTGGCCTTGTTTAGATGACAGTAGAAGCATTTCACGCACTTGTAAAATGTAGGTGTTTCTTCTCTTCATGTTTTTCCCAGAACACTTTTCCTTGTTTAAAAAGGTACTGTCTTATTCAGTACTCCTCTGAAAGAGTATTCTGAAGACTCAATGAGCTATTGTACCAAACTTACTGAATCTCACACATGTTCTGCTCATAGAAGTTAACTGAAAACAGGAGTCCAGCTTCCTGCTGCATTCTCTCTTGTGGGCTGGCGTGGAGAGAGAGGCTGCAACTTCCACCACCCAGGGGGTGACTGGAGAGGAACCATAGAAAGAACCATTAATTTAATTTGTTATTCTGCTAATTCTTCTAATTTAACTACCGTAGAATTTCATTCCTCTGAGAATGGATGTCTGCAGTTTGTGTATAATAGATCATTGGTACCTTGCCTAGGAATTCATAAGGGAAGTATAGAGGCTGATGGTAGTAGTAGAATATTGTGGCAGTAGAGTTATCTGCTGCCAGCCCAGTCTTACTGTTAAAGAATTATCTCTGGTTTCTGCTGTTTCTGGTGGAGTCGATTAGATGGGTTGAGGCTATTGGAGGGGGAGGGGTTGTTTGTCTCATTTTATTGACTAATTAAAATCTGCATTTGGGTATTCATTATTGCTTCCAAATTTTAGGATGTTGAAAGGTTTTCTTTCCACTGCATTCTTGTCTGAGACTTTGACTTATGCCCAGCAGTGTTTTAGGGGTGGGTTTTTTTAGGGTTTTTAGGAGCTTGTTTTTGTTTTTGTTTTTAAAAAGTAGATGCCTCTATCCTCCAAGTAAACCAGGCTGGAAATGTGAGTAGCACTGTTTGAAACTGTGATCTGAATCAAGCTATTGAAAATTACTACATTCTTGACTATGTAATAACATTCATGTTGACTGCCATACTATTTAGGAAATTATTTTTACTTATAGCTGAAATGGTGTTTGAAAATCCTTTCAGATCCATTCTGTTATTAACTAGATTTGCCCTTGACTAAAATGAGACTTGATTTGAAAATGGAACGTGCTTTCCCTAGGCTTTTTCACAGATAAATTGGATGGTTTAACAATCAGTTTAGCAGCTGGCTAAGCACTTTATGTGCAAAAGGAAGTTCTTACAGCATTGGTTCCTATTTTATTTGTAAGTCTAGTATTAAAGTTTGATAGTTGTGGCCCAAATTGCAGTTAAGGTGTTGACCTTTACAGTTTAATTCTTCAGTTAAAAATATTTTCTGACCAAACTTGAGAGATTTTCCAAACAGCTTTCCCCAGTGTGCTGAGGTCTCGTACAAAAGGTCCTTCTTACGAAATTTCTTCTTCATCAGAGTAGATGCTCAGCCACTACATGAGCATGAGATGACCTCTCGGCTAAGAACAGCAGCACTGTAGAAGAAGCAGCAAAGAATTCATGGTCCCTGCAACTTGTGTTCTGGGAGTCGTAAGTCTCCCCTCACCAGCTACACTCAAATCTGGCTGCTCTCCAGACTTTAAAAACCAATACAAAACCAATCTGGTACATTCTGTCATCCTAAGTATCTCAGTTTAATTTTTAACAGTGATAAGGTAGATCTTCAGGATTTTTTTTTATTTATTTTTTTTTAGCATTGAGTCTCCCAGGTGTGTGTATTGTACCTTTGCTAATTTTTGTCTTGTCTCTTGTCGATAGACTTCAGTATGCAGAATGTTGGGTGTTGCAGTACAGTTGGCCACCACCAACTGCTATAAAACTGTTCAGTACATTGTAATTCCGTTTAATCTTGTTTAAATATTCTATAACTGGGCAAAGGTGCTGTATTTCAAGGGGGGGAAGGGAGGGTCAGAGATAGGTAGTATTTCTTAATTTACAAACACTGTAGCACACAGTAGGGAACTCCTAGCATTTGTAGTACTAAATAAGTATGTACATAGCAAAATGTCTTTATTGTGTGCTTTGCAGAATATGTGCATACAGTTTGCACGTCCTGTTTTGGGGGGTAGGGTTTGTTTTAAGCAGTGTTTGCCTGGAGAGTGATATGCTTGCTGCTTAATCAAAGGATTAAAGTTTCAAAGAAATCTGTGTCTTCTATTTTTATGTACCTTGTAATGGTCTAATATGTTAGGGCCCTTATACTGTGATTCTCTTCTAAATTCATTTATATTTTTTTAAGAATTAGAAATAAAATTATACAATGGTGTTGATTTCAGTGGGGAATTTCTTTTGCCGTATCTAATCTCCAGTTTTGTAATGTGGTAACAAACTCTGACTTCAAGGTTGGCTTAATTTTGTCACTTTAAAAAATGTAAAATGTTTGCACACTAAAGTTTGGCAGAGAACGTGTATCCTACATTGTTCAAAGCTAATGTAACTCTACAGCTTTTTGTACAGTTTATTTTAGTTAATAAAGCAAAACGGTACTAAAAAATGACAGATTTTACAAATGCAAGGCATAATCTGAACCACATGTCTTCTAGGAACAACACTTGCAAAACATGGATGTACTAGAGCACTCAGATTTAATTGTTGCACTTTAAACCAGAATGGGTATGAAGTTAAGCAGGTATTCCTGCATTAATAAAACAATCACGAAACATTTCACACCATAGTAAAGCAGTTTAATTTGTCTTACAGTTGATCATGAGCAAAAGGAGTTATAGTTACCTCTGCCTCTAGGTTTTTGGTTATGTTTCTTATATAATACAGTGTTTATTCTGGAAACTTCACAGTTCATAGCAAACGGCACAAACCAGTGGCTTATATGTGCAGGAGTTTGTGCGTGAAGAGAGCAGAAGTGCCAAGTTCAGGGAAGAGTTGAGGATGAAGGGTACTAAAACAACGTTGTGCGTCTTGCTAGGAAAAGAAGGGAATAGACTGAGGTTACAGCTGGTGCTAGGTAGAAGTGTGGTCAGACAAAAGCAAAGCTGGGGCGAAGACAAACTTGTCAAAATTGTTTGCTTGGAGGTGCATTTCAAAATGCAAAGGAAGCCTTAGAGGGGTTGGCAGCTGTCACAGCTCCAGTGCAAAATGGTGTGCTGCAAATTGCACTGAATACAACTTGGTAGTTTTATTAAGTGTGGTGAACCTCCAGCTTTTCCTGAGGTTGAAATAGCTACACCTCAGAGTTTCCCTTTCAGTGAGTTAAAAGCAGACACCATCAAGACACATCTGCTCTAAGATCACAGGAAGTTGTTCGTGAGATATAAAAAGCAAACTCCTGAACACTTGTAGTCTGTTACTGATGAATTTGGCATCAAAAATCCATAGTCGGGTAGGGAGGAGAGGCAAAATATACAAGCAACAGTATCTGGACTATTTAATAAGCAACTGGCCCACTTTTTATAACTGACATCATTAAAATTGATAGTAAAGTAGAACTTGAGCAAAATAAATCCTTGTTGCTGTTCCTGATGAAGTTTTCCCTTGGACTGGCAGAAGAGGAAGCACTGAGACACAGGGACTGTGATTATTGCTACAGCTGCTCCAGGGATGTGGCTTTGTCTTGCAAACCAGAACTCCTGTTACATGCTCTGAATCTTAAGAATTGTGATTTTTAAACCCTGATATTTGATGATCCATCTGATGCATCTTTGCGACCACAAAGCTCCATTCTGGGGGACTGTAATGTTCTGCAGTAGGAGGAGGATCAGGCATGCAGGAAATGTCCGACTTGGGAACTCGATCCCATCTCCAAAGAAACCATTTACCTATATAAATATTTACTTGCAGAAATACAATGCCTGTTGTTCTGATGGATGTTCCTGTGAGCTTCCCATACAAGTTGTTCCCAGACAAATCAGAGTATTCCTAAAAGCTAAGGAAAAAACAAAAAAGTGCTCAATTTTTACAAGAAGGAGTGTTTTAAAAGGTCTGTGTTGTGGTGATGGCCTCTACACCTTTGCTGGACTCCCAGTATCTTAATGCAATACGAACTGACACCCTTGGGAGTGGCAAGCCTGAGTCACTTTAGCAAAACAAGAATCTGAAACCATTTTATTACTATTATTTTTAGAGCTCATCTTAAGACAATCCAGATAGCACAGCCCAATTGTTTCTTTTTTCCAATAGTTTCTTTCTCGTTAGCCTGAGTGCTTTTGTGCATGTGCTGGCATGGTATTTTCCTTCGAGACTGGTTTTCCTGGAAGTGGGTTAATGTGAAAGACAGAACAAAGTGCAGCAGCGGGTGGTGGGGAGCGAGCATCAGTGCTGCTGGCTGTGTCTGCGCTGGTGAAAAATCCTTTGGTTCGTCTCGAGTAATTCGCAAATTACTCTGGTATATGGAAACAGCTACTGCCTGCGTTCTTCGCGTGTTTAGCGTGGAGTCTGTTGAGCTATTTTCGGTAGCAAATAATAATAAAGAGTGGCTGCGCTCAGGCAGGCGGGGTGCGAGCAGGGTGTACCGCCCAGAGGGGCCG